AAACGAGTATCTGAAGTTTTAATTTAAAGTTAAAACATTAAATGAGGCCTATAGTAACGGACATTCATGGCTACCTTACTGCTCTTATGATGGATATATGTGTGGAAAAACCACACTTACGCTCGAGCTGTGGAATAATGTTGTCGCTGGTGATGTTTCTTATATGTAAGTGAGTTGGGTACTTGGCGATCCTTTCGAATGTGATGCGGCTGTGTTAGACGCAGGTGGGAACATCACAGATGTGCAACAGTAGATAAATGTGCTGGATACAGAAATCAGACAGCAGTCTTTGATGCACAAATAAACGTCGTCGTCATCCTCATTAAGTTTGGTATTTTGGCTACTTTTTTGTGTTTAATTTGATTTAACAACTTAACACAGCAAATGTAACTTGTAGCTGTGGAAAAAGAACATATCTGAGGTAGTTGTGCTGAGAGCTGAGAAGCTAAACAAAGTGGAAGAGCATTGATTTTGAGTAGCGATCATTCATTTCATGGCAATGTGACAATGTCTGAATGTGCAGGAAGACAAGTAAATATGTCGCCAACGGTTACAGTAGGAATTTTATTTTGTACTTATTGTATACTGTGTTGGTTGGAAAGACTCATTACTGATTGAATTGATTGCAGTATCTACTCTAATTTAAAATGCAACTGTCTGTTTTAATTTAATTTGATATCAATGATATTTAAATTAGATTCGTTGTTCATGCTGGAGAAAATATGTGCTTGAATGTATAAAAATTCTTAGCAAAATTCTATGCGAATCATGGTCTTCCTTACGATTATCTAAGTTCGTTGACATTGAAATCTCTACTTTAACAATGAAAATTTTTCTCTTTTCATTTGTTATTGTTATTTATATCTTCTTTCTATTAATAGTTTCTATTTAATATTTCAACGTAATACATCGTTTAGCCAGGCAGTAGGAAATTATTATAGATGGTGATCTGACAATCTCCGCAAACATATAGCACCAACTTCCGTGTTATAAATCTTGGATCTGCAAATAGTGGCAGATTGTTGAGCTATATTTTTGGCTATAATCGATTTCACTTAACATTTTTTATAACATCAGCGTTTATCTCGATTAAACTTACTTTTGTAACCAATTTTATGTTACCACTTAATAGTTCAATAGATAATAGATCAATTAGAAAAACTTTCACAATAAAATTTATTGATAGTATATCGTTTGACAAAAAGATTTGTCAAATTGTAATTAATAGTTTCGAATATTCGGAATATTTAATGTAAAGCAAAGAGAAAAACGCAGTTTAGTTTTTGTCCAACCTAATATTTTTATGGTGTTAAGTCTGATAAAATTAAAATAAGAATCGTGTAATATTTATCTGATACTGATTTTAAGTCTATATGGATTTTGTGTAAAAATTTATATAGGTTACATATAAATGAAAATCAGTTAACATTTAACGTTAAAAAAAAATAATCCTGAATGATAAAATAATAGAAAATAACTAATAAATTCGAGTTGCAACAAAAAGTTAATTCTTTTTTATTATTGAAAATTGTTGCTGCATACAAAGTCTACCATTTTCCAATAAACTACAATAATTGATATAAAGATAATAATTGATACACTTAAGGTATTTTATACATTCATTTTGATTTTAAAGAAATGCCATTCAAATTGTAAGTACGTTTAATCTTGAAAAGATTGTTAGAGGATCTGTCTATCTATATACATGTAACAGTATCTTTATACAGTCAGCAATAATTGTGTCAAATGCATTAAAAATTGAATGGTTTTAATTACTTATACCACTCTAATCCAGCGGCAGCGGTCAGGGTAGTAGAAATATGCAAAACGTTTAAATAATTAATATTAAATCCTAACTAAATTCCTGGCAAGTTGAAACATTTGCAGTCATTAAGAATTTTATTGCTTTTTCATTAAATATTAGAAGATGGAAAGGAATCTTTCCCATCGTCTTCATTTACAAGTATGTGGAATGCCAAATGCCGCCATTCGTAAGATGCTTAATGCGCTTAGTCATCGTTAAGTATGAATAACTGAAGCATTTTTTTATTTTTATTTTTATTATTGTAATGACTAACTATAAATTTTTACAAAGCTGTTGATTGGTTAATTTTTGATTATTATTATTTTAAATTTTGGTTCTTTTGTATTCTCGTATCTTATAAATATTTTTTACTTGTTTGTAAGAAATATGGCCTATTTGATTCAAGCACAGCAGCAGGTCTATGCGCAGCTCCGTTTAAGCTGCTGGAATGAGTTGAAATTTGCTGCAGCACTCAAACTGTTGGATATCTCATTTAATTAAGCTGCGGACATACCTTTCTGTTGTTCCCTTGCAGGCAGGCTGGCAGATAGGTCTTATATTCATAGCTTTCTATGAAATCTCAGTTCAATTTTATTTATTTTTTTGCTTAGTGTGGCATCAAACGCCGCTAAATCGAATAATACAATTCACAAATTAATATTTTTATATGGGTGTATTTTGGTCCACCTGAGGTTGGTTTGGGGGAAATACGGTATATACATATGTAACTAGTCTGCATTCAATTAAGTTTTCATCATAAATCATTGTTTTTGCTTGAACAATTTAATTTGCTTTCATGTACTTTTTAATTTCTACATGATTGTTACAACTTTTCAATTACAAATCAGAAAGATTTAGTTAAATGGTATTTTTTATTGCATTTTTAATTAAATTTAAATACTTTGCTGTTGTACTTGGCAGTTCGTAGCTATTGAGTTCGATGTTACAATAATAAAAACCATTTGATTGCATCGGTTGTTTTTCATTGAAAACTAACCTTTTTTATTAATATAACTTTAAATATAACCACCTTAATATACTAACATGATCTCATATAATGTAATACCCTATGTTTTTATTGTTATTACTAATACAAAAGCACCGAACTTCACTGTTGAAAACCAAATAGGAAATGAGTTCCAATACCTGTTGTAATGCCGTTGAGGTATTCAACTTACTTCCACTCCGAGTTTCACCATCTGGGTTGTATATACACGCAAAAGAACCACTTTTCTTTTGCGATTAACATTTCGCATTACTTCTTATATATTCCGATTTCTTATACTATTAATTTTAATATACAATAACATTGTGGCAGTATCAAACATAAAAACTATTGCCATTAAAATAAGGTTTTAATAATATTATCGGATTTATCTCACCTACCTTTAGTAAACCGTCTGATATCATTGACAAACTTTATATTGTTAATTTAATTAAGTTGATTGTGCTCAGTTCCAATTCCTCAAAGAAGAAATCTAGGTGGTTAACTCTTAATCTTGAGAATGCTGTACAGAATAGGAACATCTTACATCTCTTCTTTACTTTTATGTTGACAGTTTCTATAGTGGTGTCTACTGAGGCACCCAACCTACTTTTCTAAGTTTTAATTACATATATATAAAACTTAGAAGAGTTTTTATTCTCCTTTGGTATTATGAAACAGAGTTACTCCATATGTTTCAGATTTTCAGTAATTTTATATTTGAGAAAATTTTTAAACCGGCGTATGGTACATTTTTAATTATACTCACTATAATATATACACCAACAGAATATAATATTTTGTTAAATTTACTCTCTTTTCAAAAATTAAATGGAAGGCAATTCTTTCTGGTTTATTCAGTTATCCTGATGCTGTTTATTTGAATTTCTTTTTAAAACACCAGTCAGCGAATAAAGTATATTTATTTGCATCATTCAAGAAGGAATGTTTATTATAATTAATTAGATTTTGTAGAAACAATTTAAGTAGGTTGAGCCTTCCTTCGCAAATAACACAGTTTGATTTGATTCTACATACATATATCATTTTTATCTATTTTCGAAACTTAACCTTGGCGCTTCATAGCAAGGTAATCCTGAATTGTTTTTAAAAATTTTTTTTGAAATTATTGCGTATGCAATAGTCCCTGACGGTTTTGTTGTAAGTCCCTGAAAGTGGTACTCCGATAGTCAAAGAGCTTTTTTGGTGCTGCCAATCTTCTGGTGCTACCAGCAGTAGCATACAAGACAAAGTAGATACAAGTAGACAAAGTAGATGTTCGAAAATAATGAATCATTTACGTTACATTTGCAAAGTCATTATATATTTTTATAATTTGCCTTAGCTGTTAAGGTCTGGTAAATTTAATAGGACATAAAAATATTAAACATACAAATGCTATTCTTTAGCTATTTGTCCAGCTCAGGATTTATGTTACTATAAGAATATTATAAGGCATAGTCGGAATTTTTATTTAGAGAACTCTTTTCAATTTATTTAATATATGGGGTTCAGTTATATTAAAGAAGATATTTAAACATAAGAATTACATTATACTATAGTCAACCACGAGGCCTTATGATTTGCTATTAATAATAAAAATTGATATCACCACTTTTCTTCTAATGCATTTAAATAAATTGATATAATATTTGATCAAAGAACTTGTTTAAATTTTTTCATGCTATAAAATTAATGAACTAATATTGCACTACAACATCACGCAAGTAAGGAATGCATTTGTATATTTCCACACTCATAAAGACAATCTAAATTGTATTAAAATCAATAACATTTTTCGATTTTTTCCCATATTACGAGTAATTGATTTTGTAACACAAATTTTATAACGAAATTAGCTAACATAAGTAAAAACATTTATTTAGTAGTTTTTATAAACATTTATTGCATATTGCAATTTTTGCAGCGGGTGTGGCATATGAAGTATGTAGTTCAAATTATGACTGCACGAACTAATTTACATAGAAACGTACTCGACATCACCGCAGGCATATTGGACAACTGTTCCAAACATGCATTACTTTTATTTATTATTCATATTGCTGTCTTTCCATAATATACTTAAATACATTTATTTATTTATAATAAGTACACACCAATTTAGAATTTAAGCTTATTATGTTTAATTATTACTCTGGGCTTAAATCTGTACTGTACACTAATTCATTTTTTTCGTTTTTATCGTTTCAGATATCAGCTGCTGGCAATTTTGAATTAGAAATACTAGAAATTTCGAATACAAATAGTCATCTGTTGAATGGCTATTGTTGTGGCGTTCCTTTAGAATTAAGAACCACAAGAACGACAGGTAAATTTTTTTCTATTCATCTAAATTTTCTTAAAAAGATGCTTTTACTATGCAGTTTATTACGATAAATATCCAATCGTGATAAATTGTATTTAAGTAACGTGTTAAATACTATAAGTTTATCAATCCAATTAATTTACTTCGAGTAAGATTGCTTTTAAATGCACTTTGAAATTACTAACTAGAACTAGTTACTCGAGAGACCAGAACTAGTGATATTCAGGTGCAATGTAGCCATACTATAAAAACACAGCTGAAATTTAAATTTATTTCTGGTGTAAAATTTTTTCGAAATTGAAGTAAAAAGTAATTAAAAGGTTGTACTTCATTCATTGCACCTACTAAATTTAATAATAACAATAACAGCTGATTTACCAAAACTCATAACATCTTTTAGTTTATTATTTTTATTATCATGATAGAGGAACACAATGAAAGTTTAACATAATATTAATTGTTGTTAAATTCCATATTGATATTAAGTATATATTTTCTCATATATTTTTAGGTTGTCCGCCATGTTCAACAGCGTTTCGTTTGTGCCTAAAAGAGTATCAAAGTTCAATGCCAACAGAACAAGGCGTCAGCTTATCGACAGGTTGTTCTTTTGGCAACTCTACATCTGCAATTTTAGGTGGTTCAAGCTTTGTGCTGAGTGATCCAGGCATTGGTGCAATAATATTACCTTTCACATTTCGCTGGACGGTAAGTTTTAAAATCTGACATATGGTTTTTGCAACAAATTATTACTTTTTTTAAAGAAACAGAATTCATTATTAAAAATTTAATTAAAAATTATTTTTTTAATGATTATTGTGTTACATGCGTGGCACAAGCCAAAACCGCAAAATACTGATAAAAGCTATAAATGTAGATTTCCTGAACTTGAGCCACATATTTCATAATTTTATTTCATGCTGATAAGCCTTAGCTGTGATTAAGAAAAAAGACGAAATAAATGAAGAAAACAACAGTAATAACAAAAACTGAGCTTCAGTTCATTTCAAGTACTCATTAAAAAACTGACGAGTCAAACAAATCACACCCACTTCCTACTCGTTACATTTATATTTTTTTTTAAATGAAAGAGGTTTTCTTTTAATTTTTTAAGAACCTTCTTTATACATATTAGATATTCAGTCTATTAAAAATTTTATAATTTCACTTCAAAATATGTTAAATCATGTACTGAATTCATATCAATCACTAAAGACTTCCGCTGAAGTCTGCACACAATGCAAGGTCACTGACTGAAAAGAAATCATCTTCAATTTAAATTTGTTTTAAACAAAAACGGTTTTAACTTGTTTCCATTTCTCTACAATTTCTATTTAAAATCTCTATTTTGTTGTTACTTGTAAACTAGAAATAAAAAAAATAAAAAATGTGTAAAAATAAATTTATTACTTCTTATTTGGCCTTTGTCTCAGGTCCATGTACACACTAAACTGTGGCGTTTATAAAGCGATCTTTTTAATAAATATTTTGAATGAGGTGTTCAAATTCCGATTGGAAAAAAATCGAAACGTGTAAAACGAATCGGTTGAAAATTTTAATGAAAATGATTGAACGCACAATTTAAGCAAATGGCGTGTCATGAATTTTTTGATGTTTGGCTGTGGTACTCCTACTTTAAAATTACGTTTAACATTTTTATAAATATGTCCATATACCATGCTTTAGATATTTTGTTAATAGGATAAAAATATTTTAGACATGGTCTGTACCAACTTTGGATACCGCACACATAAGTTACATATAACCTAAAGTTTAACTAGTGGCTCCAGCTTTCTTACACAAACTCCAACTGTATAGCAATGAAATTTGATAAATGACCGGTTGCTTGGTCATCAACCAAGAATAGTGAACATAAAATATAATCAGACAGCATAAAATTGGTTTAAACATAAATTGAAACAAAATTAGTTTCAGTATCTTTACAAATAATTTTTATTCTCGTAACCGAAAAATTTATCTTATTTCTTCTTCTTCTATTTTTAATTCAACTGAATTAAAAACATAACGATTTTTATAGGTGCTTTTAATATTGACTGGCTACAAAAACTGTATGAAAATTGTAAAATGTTTTTTTATTGTCCAGTCATTGTTTCAGATTAAATTTTTATTTTTTTAAATTTATATAAATAAGAGCTAAACTGAAAACATAAAACATAAAATACAAAACAAAATTTTCCATAGTGCCCCGTGCAGCAGCTGCCAAAAACAGTCACTGAACCGATGTGAACCAAGCCATTAAAATTGTTTTTATTGCGGATCCGCTCGCTTAAACTGAAGTTTCTATTTTGCCAATTCCACACTTTGGCGCGTTTGCTTTATGTTTTGCTTGTCTTGCTTGATCCAATTTTGATCCCCCCATGACTACAAATTTATGCTTGTCCAAAAACTGTTTAATAAAAAATTTAATAAAATTATTAAAAAGTTGCTCTGATTTGCTGTTCTGCTGGTGAAGTTTACTTTTTTTTTAATGACAACTCGTTAACTCCTCTACAAATAGTTTTTTTTAAAAAATATTATTGTTTTCAATTTTTTTTTGTTGTGCAAATATATATATACAAATATATACACAAATATATATATAAAATTAATTTTTTTTTGTTTAATATTAAGTTATTCAAGAACTTTACATACTGCCTATCACAAAATAGTCTTTTATCTGAGTATATTAAAGTACTCGTTTAAATATATATACATATATATAAATATACATATATATATATATATAGTGGCGGCGTGTTGTTAAATGTAAAAAAAATGATTCCATTTTGAGACAAAAAGTGTTTAAAATTGTTAAATTATGTATTATGAAGAACTTTATATCACAAAAATTAATGGACGCATTAACTGAGAGAGAGTTATAATTATAATAAAATCATTTTTTCCTTTAGATATTAAGATGTAAAGTAAGATGACATAAAATTTATATAAGACAAGTAAAAAACTATTTTTTAACGTAACATATGTATACATTTCACAGTATAAACATGTCTAATATAGACAATATAGACAATATATAATAAATTGATATCGATTCGAATAGGTACTGAGTCCCCTGAAAGGAATTATGTGAAATTCTGTAAATATAAACTTGCTATTTATAAGAGTGTAACGTGTACAGTACTATCTTCTATCACGAAAAAATTGACATAAATGGTTATCAGTAGAGGATATCGGGATTAAAAAATAAAGTCATAGAAATAAAGACCATAGTATGCAATGTAATAGGAAAATTGTATTTCTAAGAAGCGATGAAAAGTAATTCGATATGTTGAGTTCTAAAGATTTTGTTGCGACAGGACGGTCGAAAGAACCAGTTAAAATGTAACCAGAAATTGTGAACGCACACTCAATATTACCATGAGATAAAACTGACAATGTCGTAAGATGTTAAAGAAAATTTAGAAAAGTGGATATCGAAAACTGTAGAACCTTTACAGATTAGACCCATATGTGAGTTGTAGAGCCAATATTATGGTGAACTAAACTACTAATTTATTTCTTAATTTCATATATATAAAAATAATTTTTAATGTTTTTATTTACAATTTCACAATCATTTAGTGGCTCTATACTGTAAGACAATCAACAAAAACATTCGACTTTCGGAAATTGTCTCTATAGAATTGATAGCAATGAAACTTAACCAAATATCTTATATAAAACTTATACAAGTTTCTTCAGGAACATATAGCTTACTTGTTAATAGGTATAAGCTTTGTGTTGATACAGAATATTTGCTTCAAAACACGTAGCGATTGGGTTTTATTTAGAAGTACAAAAAGAAAGTCAATTTTCCAAAAAATGTAATAAAACTCGATTCATACAAATACCATTTTTCTTATGATATGTAATACTTACATTTTCTATTTGAAAGTAGTGTAAAGCTTTTCAATTTTCGAGATTGCCCTCAGTTAATTTCAAACGCTTTGGAGATCTTAGAAATTCGCTGCGATGACATCGACTAGATTTAGCTTTATGTTGTGTTGATGTATAATCAATGACATCGGTTGAGTTTTCATTTTTTAAGTGACCTTCATTGTTATCCTTTATAGGTCTTACATAATTAGGTAAAAAGGTCTCATTTTGGAATTTCTGAATTTTTTCGGGTATTATGTTACTCGCATATTTTGGTGTACGGATTCTATAGTTTGATTCATTGTGATGATCATTCATATTGGATTTTGTTACGCTTTCAAAGCTATCGGATTCAGTGTAGGATGCTCTCTCACTGGCTGAACTTGACATATCTGAAGATGAGTGTTTGTTTGATTTATGCCTTTTGTTATACCTGAATTTATATCTTTCGGCGTCGTTACTTTCTGTGTATTTATTTTTTGAGATTGATTTTTTTATCTTTGTTCAGCTCATTCAAGTTGACCGGATCATAGGGTGCCATGCCAGTGTTGAAAATTTTACTTTTGCATTAGATTTCAGTTATCTCATTGTTTTTGGCTATATTATACTAAACATTACAGCAACTCAATTGCACCCTACTCCCCCTTAAATTAATACAACAATACTTATAGAAAATAACAATAACAACAAGAAGACTAATGCTAAAAAAAAATACAGAACCAGAAAAATTTTAAGTTAATATGTGCAATATGCATTGCACATATGTGAGCCGCCGAATTCAATGGTCAAAGAATTTGTGATTGGAGTGGCCGATTACTGTATTCGTAAACAGCTCGGCACTGAATATATACGAACGAGCGAAGGCAACGCACTCGCTGTAAGTACTATGTATAGTAATATGCACATGTGCCGGCATCAAAAGCTTGTAACGAATATTGTCAAGCTTTGAGCGGAATTCGTTGCTGTTCTACATATTAAAGCTCAACCGATAAAAAGCCATAATGAACACAGTTGTCTGTTAGAATGGGCAGTTGTGTGTAAGAGGCGCAGTGCGAGAGTTGAAGTAGAAGTGTAAGAAGTGCGAGAAGTGCGGACAACCTGTTCCGTGGGAACATTGCCTTGCCAGTCTTTGCCAGCACTTTAACTAATTTTTTTGTTTGTATGTCTTTCTGTTTTGGTGTTTTGGTAAGTTACTTGCTTGCTTGTCTGCTTGACTGCTTGACTGCACGTTAATGTTTGTTGTTTTTGGGTTTGCTGTGCTCCTAAATGAAACCTGTTAAATGAATGAAGTTAAATGTTATTTACCTGACTGTAGCCGGGTGGTGGCAGCTTGGTTATGCTTGGGGTACTACTACTTACAAAACCACGAAACAATAACTCTTCAAATTTATAGTTTGTTTTTCTTCTGGTTGTTTCATTCTTTCTTTCTTTTTATTGTGGTTTTTTGTTTTATTTCATTTAATGTTCCATTTAGTGAAGTTTGATGAAATACTTAAGAGTGCCTTGGCTTATGTTTAATGTGCGTTTAACTAAACATTTTTGTGGGGCTACAAATTTGGTGCGTAAGATGTAGGGGCCACGATGGAAGCTCACTTTCCGTTCTTGTGCATTGTTTGCCGTTGTTGATTTGCCTTTGTCGACGCCGGTGAGTAGTTGGAGGGTTAACATTATTTCTTTATGGTTCTTGCATTAAAGCGATAAAACTGGCTTCAGCATATAAAGATGATTAACTAAGGTTTACGCTAATCCCCTTTTTAAACGAGTGTTCCAACTAAAATACTTGACTTATATTTTCTGTAGTTTATGTCTTGTCTGATTTTCCGCCTTAGGGT